GTCACATTCAAGTTTATTTTATCATGATCTATGGTAGCACTGTTGACACATTCAAAAAGCCTTAGTGTATTGTATAGTGTCAGGGATGTGCAATTCCTATAGCCTGATGCCCAGGACATGCAGTTTTGGGCACCGGGCAAGGGGTTTTTCCTTATATTTAGCCACGCTGCGGGCAAGCAGCAGCAATTAGAGCCAATGGTCGGCTCTCTTGTAAAAGAAATCTGGGCAGCTAACTAGCCACTGGATCGCTTTTACAAGCGTGAGCTGTCCTGTCGCACCAGGACATCTGATCAACCATCTGGTGCTTCCACTGGATGATAAAAAGGTGGACAAAGATCGGAACCGCTCTGTCAGCCTCTATGATATAGGAAACAGGAAGGATGTAAATGGCGGTATTTTTAAAAATGAAAAGCATTTGGTCACACTGATCTTGTGTGATCAAATGCTTTTAAGGACAGAGGAGGGATCTGGGATCTTATTGACTCCAGATCTCTCGATAAAGAGCACCTGTCACTGCCTATTGCTGTCACAAGGGATGTTTACATTCCTTGTGACAGCAATAAAAGTGATCAAAAAAGTCCACATGTGACGCATCACCGAAAATGTCAGCTCAATGGGCAGTAATTCTAGCACCAGACCTATTCTGTAAATCTAAGGTGGGAATCTGTAAAGGCCTTCAAAGCATTGCCTATGGATAGTAAAATTTACGCTGTGTTTGTTGCCGCTGCACAAGTGTGCACAATTTTAAAGCACGACATGTTTGGTATCTACTTATTCAGAGTAACATCATCTTTTATATTTTACCTAAAAATTGGGTTTAGTATTGTGGTTTTTTGCATTAGAATTAAAAAAAAGTATACTTTTACGAAACAAATTGCAAAAACTGCTGCGCAAATACCGTGTTACATTAAAATAAAATTGCAAAACCCAACAAATTTATTCTCTAGAGCCTCTGCTTTAAAAAAAAAAAAATTATATATACAGTTGTGTCCAAAATTATTCAACCCCCACTGAAATTGAGTGTTTTGGCCAGTTTGACATTGCTTTTGATCATTCAGTCATCTTGCTTACATTTACATTAAAGAGGCACTTGTAGGTCAGACAAATATAACATAACAGTTATAATGAAATAACCACAAATGTCTTTTCTGTGCTCACAGCATTATCAGTTTTATTCAACCCCCAAGTGACATTCAATCTTAGTACTTAGTACAGCATCCTTTTACAGTTATAACAGCTTTTAAACGTGAAGCATAGCTTTGACACAAGTGTCTTGCAGCGATCTACGGGTATCTTCGCCCATTCTTCATGGGCAAAGGCCTCCAGTTCAGTCACATTCTTAGGCTTGCGCACTGCAACTGCTTTCTTTAAGTCCCACCAGAGGTTCTCAATCGGATTTAAGTCTGGTGACTGCGATGGCCACTCCAAAAATGTTCCAGCCTTTCCTCTGCAACCATGCTCTAGTGGACTTGGAGGTATGCTTGGGATCATTGTCCTGTTGAAAGGTCCAACGTCTCCCAAGCCTCAGGTGTGTGACGGACTGCATCACGTTTCCATCCAATATCTCCTGGTACTGAAGAGAATTCATGGTACCTTGCACACGCTGAAGCTTCCCTGTACCTGCAGAAGCAAAACAGCCCCAAAGCATGATTGACCCTCCACCATGCTTCACAGTAGGCAAGGTGTTCTTTTCATCATAGGCCTTGTTCTTCCTCCTCCAAACATAGCGTTGATCCATGGGCCCAAACAGTTCTAATTTTTGTTTCATCAGTCCACAGAACACTATCCCACAACTTTTGTGGTTTGTCCACATGGCTTTTGGCATACTGCAGTCGACTCTTCTTATTCTTTGGAGACAGCAAGGGGGTACGCCTGGGAGTTCTGGCACGGAGGCCTTCATTACGCAGTGTGCGTCTTATTGTCTGGGCTGAAACTTCTGTACCCACATCTGACAAATCTTTTCTCAGTTCCTCAGCAGTCACACGGGGACTTCTCTCCACTCTACGCTTCAGGTAGCGCACAGCAGTCGAAGTCAGCATCTTCTTTCTGCCACGACCAGGTAGCGTTTCAACAGTGCCCTTTGCCTTGAATTTGCGAATGATGCTTCCTAAGGTGTCTCTTGGTATGTTTTAACATCTTTGCAATCTTCTTATAGCCATTGCCCTTCCTGTGAAGAGAAATCACCTCTTCTCTTGTCTTCCTGGACCATTCTCTTGCCTTCACCATGTTTGTAACCACACCAGTAAATGTCTAGAAGGAGCTGAGTATCACAGTCATTTTAAAGCTGCCTAATTGGTGCTTATTATGCTTGATTGCTGCTCGGTGACATCCACAGGTGTTTTCAATACCTGATGGAAAGCACCTGTATGAACCTCTGTTCTTCAGAGTGGTAGTCTTTAAGGGGTTGAATAATTGTGGCAATGAAGAAACCACATAAGAACCATTTACTACTGTATTACATAAACAATTGATGTCATTTTAGTTGCATTTGGGTAGTTACAACGTCCTTGTAGGATTGATTCTGAATACAATTCCAAATGTACACTATAGTCCCTAAACCCCTTTACAGCATTGGGGGTTGAATAATTTTGGACACAACTGTATATAAATCTATCTTTCTACCCCTCACCTCTTCAGTCTCCACTCGCATTACTAACCTACTAAGTGACATATCAGCATGAATGTCACTACACTTCCTCAAACTCAATCTTTCCAAAACTGAGCTCTTAGTATTCCCTCCAGCCCGTGCCCCCTCCCCTGACTTCTCCATCAAGATCAATAACACTATCATCAGTCCCTCCCCCCATGCCAGGGTACTAGGTGTAATCCTAGACTCCCATCTGTCCTTTCAGCCCCAAATCCAATCACTGTCCAAATCTTGTAGACTTCACCTCCATAATATCTCCAAGATACGCCCGTTCCTAACCACGGAAACTACTAAGCAACTTATTCACTCCCTTGTTATCTCTTGCCTTGACTATTGTAACTTCCTCCTCATTGGCCTACCTAATCGCAGGCTATCCCCTCTTCAGTCTATCATGAATGCTGTTGCCAGACTCATCCACCTTACTAACAGTTCTGTATTAGCCATCCCTCTCTGCCAATCCCTCCACTGGCTTCCCATTGCCCAACGGATAAAATTCAAAAACACTAACAACGTATAAAGCCATTTATAAATTACATCACCGATCTTGTCTCTAAATATCACCCAAACCGTACTCTCCACTCCTCACAAGAACTCCTACTATCTAGCTCCCTTGTCTCCTCCTCCCATGCTCATCTCCATTACGTCTCCAGAGCTTCCCCCATCCTCTGGAACTCTCTACCCCAATTTATCAGACTATCGCCTACTCTGCTCACTTTTAGGTGATCTCTGAAAACCTCTCTCTTCAGGGAAGCCTATCCTGCCCTCAGCTAATACTGGAATCTTCTACTCTTCCAACCAGTCCATCTACCAACCTAGTCTACCTTTCGTACCACTATCCCCTCCCTTCTAGATTGTAAGCTCCAAGGAGCAGGGCCCTCCTAACCCTCTTGTATTGAACTGTATTGTTGCTGTATTGTCTCCTGTTATATTGTAAAGCTCTGAGCAAACTGTTTGCGATATATAAATCCTATATAATATATATATAAAAAATATGTTTGGGAATGTTCTAAACAGTTTAAGTCATCATAAAGCCCCTTTTGGTTTTAAAAGCCCCAGACATTCCTCAAAATACGTCTGCCTATTAAGAAATCTTAACCCTTCATATTTTCCATCCTGGCAAAAATTGTCCTGATAAAAAAAAAAAAAAAAAAAAAAAAAACACAAGCAGATTGTCATGAGGGACAAGTAGATTGGAACCCCGAAATAGTCCAGGGACAAGTATTTTCTTAAAACATTTCCACACCTGAGTGTTCATGGACCCTTAAGGACTCGTTCACACCATAGGGCAGAGACGTCAGTTTTTCTGCACGCGTTCTGCTAGGGAACAACAAAATCAATTGTTCTCCATGTGTCCTGCTCACACCACAACACTAGTATCACATGCAGATTTTTTCTGCAGCATGTATAAAACTCATTGAATCAAGCATGAAAACTGATGTCTCTGATGGAAACGGATGCACAGATTTCACTTGCAGTTTTTCTGCATGTATGGTGTGAATGAGGCCTAAAGCTTTCACTCTGATCGTGAGTTGCCCTGGCAGGTTTGTTTTTGGGTCCATAGACATACATCCTGGGCCACTGAAAATGAATTGGCAACACATCGCAACATTCACTGAAGAACACAAAATATGAGTTAATGCACACATAGGTGTAAATGGGCCCTTAGGCCTGGTTCACACCTATGCATTTTTAGTGCTTTTTGCAGAAACTCACCACGGTCTATTTAACATGGTTTCCTATGGGACACGTTCACATCTATGCGTTTTCAGCCACTGCGTTTTTTGATAAGGTCAGGGACTTTTTTTCCCCAGGCAGACTGCAAAACACATAGGTGTGAACCAGGCCTAAAAGGATACTACTAGTGGCTACTTCCTAGTCCCATGTATCCATATCCCCTTTATGGAGTCACCTCTCAGGAATTTCGATGCGGAACAAACAACTTCATATGACATTGGTGTGGACAACTTGGCATCACAAATAGTTCTTCCAGTAATTTGCACATTACAGAGTAGAATCTTTAACACTTGATATTCCCTACACTAGTGAATGCAATTTCAGTAACACATCTAATCTGAACAATTTATCTGCCTAGCCAATATATTGTTAGAAAGCACACACAAATGACCCTTGTACACAATCGCAAGACTACTGAATTAATATCAATGCTGTAGACCACGGGTGTCAAACTGATAGCCCTCCAGCTGTTGCCAAACTACAAGTCCCATGAGGCATTGCAAGATTGACAGTTACAAGCATGACTGCCAAAGGTAGAGGCATGATGGGACTTGTAGTCTGGCAACAGTTTGACACCCCTGCTGTAAGCATCTGGCCATGGTAAGATGCAAACTTGGAGACAGCAACAGTCCTGCAAGTCAGAGTCAAAACACTAATATGCCTTTACCTTACATTAACCCCTTCACGCCTAAGAGTAAAACAATTCTTAAACCCGAAGTAAAATTTTACAACTCTGACATGTGTTAGTAAAACCGTACATATCATCACAACTACTTTGTACATCCAGGTGAATTATACCTTGGTTTTTGTTCAGGACAAATTGGGCTTTCTTTTGCAGGTAAATGGTAATGGATATCTCCTGATTTTTTTTTTTTTATTATCAAAGGAAAACTGGTCCAAAATAGTAAAAAAAAATTATTATTTTTTTTAATTTAGCTGAGTGTTTCTTGTTACTACCATAACCTACCACCAAAGAACACCCAAAAATAAATTTTCCAGCTCTTGACGATCGCAGCAATACTATATATGTGTATGTTATATGTTGTTTGTACCTGTACTACAGCCCAGAAACAATTGTGCGCATTTTGTGTTTTTTTTACCTAAAACACGTACCAATTTAAAGAAAGAAAAAAAAAAATCCTGACCTTTGACCCAAACACTAATCCTGGCACTGAACTAGATCAAACCTTGATCTAAGTTTTTTTATATTTATCATTTTTTTTTGTTCCTCTCTGCAAGGAGAGAGGGAGAGATACACTGTATCTCTCTTCTCCATTCAGACAAAAAAAAAAACTAATGGGGGCGGGCTTCACAGTTACTGATCAGTGCAACAGCCAATCAGAAGCTATCACTGCATTCATATGACCCGGAATTGGGAGTCCCAGGTCCCAATAGTTAGAACGGGACCCGGAGCTCTCAATGATACTCCAATCTTTGTGCTAGGAGTGCGCTGTGTGGCGTGCTTTCAGCACAAAGACAGGTACGCAAATATGCAGCCCCACAGAAAAAAGCCCAGTTCTGTGAGGCCGCATATTTGTGCTACATCAGCGTGAAGGGGTTAAGGATACATCTGTGTTACAATGTGAACCAACATATTATTATACAGGATTTATATAGTGCCAACAGTTTGTGCCGCGCTTTACAAAATGATAAAATTCTTTCCGCAAGATAATCCTTATACCCAGTTGTGTTTATGCCTTCGCTGAGCAAGGTGGATTACAGTATAAAGTCTTTTTGAAATTAATCATGAACACTATATTCCAAATTAATTGAAGATATTCCTGCGCCCTGCTTATACTTTATTGCAACATGAAAACTATTCTCCAAATACTTTATGGCGTATTTTAGGCTCCATTCACACTTGTGCAAATTGCCATGCTATTTTAGACAAAGTCGCATGACAAGTTGCAGCCCATTCTTTTCCAAGGGCACCTGTTCAAATCGGTGCAACTTTGAAAAGATGCCTGCACTACTTTGATGCTACTTGTGATTTAACTTTGATCCAGAGTGTAAAGTCAGATCAAAGTCGTTCTGGAAATCTCGTGACTTTGGAATCGCGCAAGTGTGAATAAAAAGGTCACACAAAGCTAAATCATTAAAAAAAATTTTACATGTACTCATAATATCTCAATGTATATTACACTTTGTTTAAACACAACTATGAAAAATGACATTTGCATAGCCATAAAACGTAAAATTTTATTACACAGAACCATGACATGTCCTCATTACATGCAACGAAATGCAGCCTTTCAGTCATGCGGCAAGTGGTTTAGCAAGCTGTCCCCATTTCCAATGAGAGCCCTAAATCTAAAGCTGGCCATGCACATTAAGAAATCACTTCATTTCCCCCCCTATGCATACTAAACTGTGTGGATGGATGACTCTTCATTGCCAGTTATTGTATTCTGACAACCAACACCATGCCGTCAGAATGCCAGAACACTGCCTGTATCTTATTGGATGCAGCTGTTGTGTGGCTGGGAATTTCCACCCAACTCCTTCAACAAAAAAAAAAAAAAATCAACTTGCCGAGTCAGGAGGTGTTGACAGGCCCACTCAACAAATTTCTGCTGATTCAACAGGAAGTGGCCGAAATTCGCTCTCTATGGCCAGAAGAAGTCTACATTCACACTGGCCTCCTGAGTTTATGTTATTTTAACTGCAGAACAAATGATCTGGGATATGTAAACAATTATTTTATGTTTTCCAATATCAAGTTCTCCAGCATTTATATGCATTTCCCTTTACGTGCATTTAGAGGATCTAATCTGCCCCTGAACACGCTCAATTCTATGTGCTCTAAACACGGATAAAGTGAATGCACTTAAACCCAGGTAAGCCCACAGTGTGAATTAAACCAATTAAAAATAATTGTATTGCCTTTAGTCCTATAAATTGTCCTGTTGTCCTATAAATATAGTTAAACACGTAATAACAGGTTTGAGGAATGAGGCCTTTGCTATCCCAAAAATAGTATTTTTCTGCACTGACCAACTAAACTGTAAAATCCCACTTTTCTACATTTTGACTATAATTCACATTTTTTTAAATTAAAGAACCACACATAAAAGATAAAAACCATTAGAATGCTAGAACCAGTCATTAGTATATATTCATGTTTCAGGGTTCTTCAATCACACCTCCTAATTTCCTGAGATGGGATGGCATAAAGCACTAGGGGGGTTATTTACTAAAGCTGGAGAGTGCAAAATCAGGTGCACTTCTGCATTCTACATACTAATTGAACACGCGGAGGTTAGAAGCCGATTGGCTACCATGCATAGCTGCACCAAATTCTGAGTGCACCAGTTTTAGTGAATTCACCCCTATGTGTACAGGCAAAGGACATGCCCCTGTTCCTCCACCAGTTACAGAATTAACTTGCAAAAAAATGGTTGGCTAAACCCACAAGTGCTTTTACTAGACCTTTCTTTGTAATCACTCAAAAAAAAAAACTAAATTTAGAGAGTTTGGTGGTCAGCAGATTCCAGCAGCTTGAATCACACGTGTGTGCAATCAACTAAAGCCGTTTGGCCTGATTTCGTCCAGGACTGGTCATCTGTTCCTAGCTGCAGGTAACTGCTGGATGTGGAGATATATGTGAACTCCAGTGGAAAGCCCCATCTTCTGTCAACCTGTTATTGCTTTGTACAGGTTAAGCAGCCACAGGAATCCATTGATGGCCCCAATCAAAAGTGTGAACGAGACCTAGCGGGACGTACAACTGGGAAAGAACAAGGGGCAACCAGAAAAGATTGAGGGGAGACTAAGAGAGAGAGAAAACTGTTAAGGAACAACCAAGAAGGAAAAAGGGACAACCAAGAACTGAGAACGAAAGTTGGACAATCAAGACAGAATGATGGACAACCAAGAAGAAAAAGGAGGGACAACAGAGTTGTGAAGGAACACCTGAGAACCTCAGAAGGAATGAGGGGAGGCTGAGGGACTGGCGAAAACTCAGAAGTAAGGGGGGAAAACTGAGAACCAAGAAGGGACGGGGAACAACTGAGAACTGGGAAGGGATGAGGGCCAACTAAGAGGGGATGGGGAACAACTAAAAACCAAGAAGCGATAAAGGACAACTGAGAAGGGACGGGGAACAACCAAGAACTGGGAAAGAATAAGGGACTGGGGAAAACTAAGAATCGGGAAGGGATGAGGGACAACTGAAAACTAAGAAGAGACAGGGGACAACTGAAAACTAAGAAGGGACAGGGGACAACTAAGAAGAGACAGGGGGCAACTGAAAACTAATAAGGGACAGGGGACAACTGAAAAACGAGAAGAGATGAAGGAAAACCGAGAAGGGACAGGGGACAACTGAGAACCGGGAAGGGATGAGGGTCAACCAAGAAGGAACGAGTTGCAACTGAAGACTAAGAAGGGATGGGGAACAACTGAAAACCAAGAAGAGATTAAGGACAACCGAGAAGAACAGAGACAACTGGGAAGGGATGAGGGACAACCAAGAAGGGACAACTGAAAATCAAGAAGAAACGGCGGACATCCGAGAACCAAGAAGGTACAAGGGACAACCAAGAGGGGGTGTGGGACAACCAAGAAGGAAAGTCCCCCAAACAGAAGTCTATACTAAAAAGAGAGTGAGCTCCAAAGTGCTGTGTGAGCACAGCAGTGGCCCAGTGTGCAGCAATGTAAGCAGTGGCCATGCTGGGAGGTGTAGTGGTGAAGTTAGAGGAGGCTCTCTCTGTGCACTAGGCCTGGTGTCATTGCTGTCACCCAGCTGACAAAGTTGCTGTTTATTGGCAACGCTGTGTGTCCCCGGAGCTCCATTGATCTGTGCTCAGCACAGCCTCTCCTCCTGAGTGATCTCAGCCGTTCTACAGGAAGAAGGAGAATAATAATGATGATGATCGGAGCGGGTTTCTGCCTGCAGGCCACTCATGGGGAGAAGTTGTAATGTGCGCAGCAGCCAAGACTTTCCCAGCAAATGGAGAGAGCTCAGGGAGGGGAGAGCGGCCCCAAATCCGACCACAACTCCACGAATCCTGACTTGTCACCGATCTGTCCTCCGATCTGTACCGAGCACCCCTCCCTCCTCCCCCCGGTGTGCAGTGATCGGCCGGAGTGCCGCACACATCATCATCACATTTCCTGATGCAAAGCAGAAAAAAAACATGAAGGCGATGATCAGGCAAACACTGGATCCGGTGTCAGCAGTCTTACCTCTAGATCCATCATGGCTGTGGTCAGCCCCGTCTGATCCCAGTGATCTCCGGGCACACACACTGTAGATCCAGCCCGATCCCGGCTCTATAAATCCAGCGATCCCTCTCCCGAGTCTCCTCTCCTCTCCTCCCCGGGCTCCGTCTAGAAGATGTCTGTCTGGAGCGGCTCCCCTGTGCTCTGCACGGCTTTGGAGTAGCAAGTTTGTGATTGTGCTTTGCTTGGCTCCTTCTGTGTCTGTGATTCTGCAAGAGATTGATGGCACCGATCCAGCCAAGGCTTACACCAAACAAATAGCTTTCACATTTCTCCCTGGGCTTTCCTTAAAGGGACACGCTCCCTTTTCTTCCTCCTCTGATGGAGTACACACAGCTCACACACATAGGTCTTCTTCTGCCTGCCTTGGGCTCCTCACATTGCCTGCAAACTTTCATTTTACAATCAGATTCACATTTCACAGGACAAACCTCTGATTTTTAGAACTTGATTACTTTTCCCTGCAGTTTCAGGTATTCCGACCATGAGTGTATTAGGGCTCATTCACACAAAAATGTACTGGTGTACATTATGCAGGGGAAGTGTGATGCATTGTTACTTCCTTCCTTCCTAGTTGCCCCTCATTCATTCTCAGTTGACTTTTTTCTATTTCAGTTGCCCCTCATTCTTTCTTGTTTGACCTTTTTCCTTCTCAGTTGCCCCTCGTTCCTTCTCGATCGACATTTTTCCTTCTCAGTTGCTCCTCATTCCTTCTCCTTG